ATATTTATTCACTTTGTCTACACATATATTTCCGGTGCATATTAATCATTTGATTAAAGCCGTGACATGTATTGCTAGAGGAAGCAGTGCAGCGGCAATACCAACATGGGTTTTATGTGTAAGTACATAAGGGCATGGGAGGTCAAATGGGGATCAAAAAACAAATTGATGCCACTTGATTCCCACTATGGGAGATCAATGAAGTGCTCGGTCAAATGGGGAGGTTAAAAATGAGTCATGAACAATCTTTGGTGACTAACCAATCACAAAAGGCCATGTGGCTTTGTTTTAGTATCATGGAACGGATGGCTTCTCAACCCCATCAAAATAGCTACCAACCTTATTAAATATCCTCCACCTCCCTAATTTCATTTATTATTCATTAAATTTAATTTTTTGTAAAAAACAAATTATACCAAAAAATTAGATTTTTTATCCTCTATAAAAAGATATCAATGAAGGATATGTTTAGTCAATTCGAAATTTATCACTCTTTTACCTCTTGCAACTTATTTTATCTGTTTTAGAATATGTTTTCTCTGAAAATGGATCGAACTCGTTCTCTACCTAGATACAATGCCAACAATAAATAATTATAGTGAGTCAAATGTGGATTTTATATTCCATTTTCAAATCATATAAATTAATAATGGTGGAATATACCAAAAAATGGAGAGAGAATGTACAAATTTTAAGTGACCTAGTTCACCATAGTGGGGTGAAAGTATGATAGATTAAAGAGGATTAAGTTTTTATAGGAGAGTGATGTGGAAGAGAGAAGAGGGGATCAAAACACACCACCATAAGGGAATGATGGTACCGATATTTTCAAACGGCGCATACTTCTTAAATTTTATTTATTGTACCATTGCTAGTTCTAAAGGAATACGTAGTATGTAATTTAATTTTAAGGTTGATTTAGTAGTTTACACATTAAAATTTTGTACGCCAAATGATAGCATGTAAAGCTTAAGGAATCAACTACTTTGCCTGTGAAATAGATTACAATATTACATTTTTCGATTAGATGTATAATCTACTTTTAAGTTTCACATAAAGACGTTGCAATGTTTTATAAAAAAAACATTCAAATTATTTTACCATCCTTTCCAAATGTAAAATATTTTACATAGTACAATGAAAAATGTACTTAAAAAAAAGTACTCTCCTATTTACAACAAATAACCAAACCAAATAATATAAATTTTCATGTTTCTATATTTCACATGTAAAGTAATTGAATTGTATTACATCCTATATTCCTATCAAACACAGTTTACTTGTTTATGTGGAAAGAAGTCAATTCTAGAATAGAATATGTTCTCAATTCACATAACCTTTATTGATTATTGTCGAAGAATTTTTCCTGGACGAGAGTGCATGAAATGATAATTTATTCTGAAAGGGACATTTACATATGTGATATGTAGAAGAAAATGATATTACTATCTTTTAATTACTACCATGGTGATTTCGTAAATGTACTATAACTCTCTTTTGTTCAAATAATACTTTCTTTTTTGGGGTGGGTAGGTACGTGGGTAAACTAATGTCTAACCGTAGTTGGTAAAAATGGAACTTTTTAATATATAGTGGCTATAATAGTAACTTTTACTAATGATAATGCTCAATTTTACATTCGTGATAGTATACTCAAAATAACTTTATTACTACATAATACTCCTTGTTAGTAACTTTGTTAGTAACTTTGTAAGTAAGTTCTTTCTATAGTACAGAGTACTATTTTTCTTCATATGTTATATTTAACAAAAATATCGTGTGATTACTTAACAAAATATCTACTTTAGACCCCACTTTCAAATGATAGATTGTTCTGAGGGTATGGGATTCGTAACATAATATCTGTCTTAGACCCACGTTTCAATTGATAGATTGAAAGGCATGCGTTCTTTGTGTTAAAGGAGAATCATAAATGTTTGACCATAATGTAACAAATGTGCGTCAATTAACGCCAACTAGTGGTGGACTCGGGTCGGGCTACCCAGCCTGTGAATCGACCCGGCCCGCTACTGTGCGGGCCCGGGACCGGCCCGGGTACCGGGCTTTGACCCGGCCCGAGGGGGAGACGGTTCCGGACACGGTTCCTTCAAAATGAGACCCGGCCGAGCCCGGGCCCGGTTCGAGCCAAAATTATTATTATTTTGTTTTTTCATTTTTTTAATTCCAACGGGTTGGGCTGGGTGTTTGGGGGGGTGGGGGGTGAGAGGGGTCGGGGGTTAATTAGAAAAAGCAAAAAAAAAAAAAAAATATATAAAGAAGCCTGGCCCGGACCGGACCCGGTCCCGGGCCCAACCCCAAACCCCAGAAAGCCCGCCGGGCCTAGGCCCGACCCAGCTCGAATCCACCCCTGACGCCAACAAGTGAAAGAGTTGAAATTTACGTTTGGTATAGGTTTCTTCTGAATAATTATTTTAGATGCCTCAAGACTCAAGTCAATACAGTAGGACTTCGTATAAGCTAGATTAGGCATGGACTCGGGTCGGTTCGGGTCCGGTTCGGGCCTGGGCCCCGTCGGGCCTCGGTTCAGGAAAGGGGAGGCCCGAAACCGGCCCGGGTAATCCCTGGGTCCGGGCCGAGCCTCGGTTCAATATTTTTTTTTTTTGCCTTTTCCTAATTAACCCCTAACCACCACCACCCCACCCCCACCCCCTCACCCAAACCATCCCAAACCATCTCAAATGACCCAAAATACCCAGCCCAACCCAAAAACTTAAAAAAAATTAAAAATAAAAAATAAAAATAAAAATAAAAAGGCCCGGACCGGGCCCGAACCGGCCGGGCCGGTTCACGTTTTGAGGGGCCCGAGCCCGGACCGGAACCCCAGCGGGTCGGGCTTACCCGAACCGGTCACTAACCGGGCCACCGGGCCGGAACAGTGCCGGTTCCAGGTCGGGCCACCCGGCCCGAGTCCAACCCTAAGCTAGATGAACTTATACGAGTCATTTATAAAGAAAATTTATCCTGCAAAGCTCCATTGTTTTTTGCACATATTCAGATGTTCAAAAGATGTAAAGTTCACACAGTTTTCACATGCCAGAAACTTAACAAGTTGTAGGGAGTGTTTGCAAGGGATTAAAAAAAGCACTTTTGAACTTTTGACTTAAAAAAAGTTGAAATTGGTGTTTTCAAATGCCTGCTTCGGCTTAAATTAAGCACTTTAAATCCAAAAGCTGGAAGTTGGGGTAAGGTACCTTCTAACTACTTCTTGGTTTTCTTGTAAATTATTCCAACTTTGGGGATGATTATTATGGTAAATTATTCCACTTTCAAATGATAGATTGTTCTGAGGGTATGGGATTCGTAACGTAATATCTGTCTTAGACCCACGTTTCAATTGATAGATTGTTCTGAGAATGTGAAAGGCATGTGTTCTTTGTGTTAAAGGAGAATCATAAATGTTTGACCATAATGGGGTGTTTGGCAAATGGTTGTTAGCGGTTGGCTGTTGGTTGATTGGTTTAGCTGTTTGATATCAGCGGATTCTTTTAGCTATTTTGATTAGCTGATAATGTTAGCAGTTTGTAAAATGGTATTTGGTGGTTAAATAACCGTTTGGAATTAGCTGATAATTTCTTAAATGACCATTAAGGACATCAATTATTTTTTTTGTTAACGGTACTAATAAAACTACTTAAACCTTTCTAATTTACGAAGTATGATTTATAATTTAAAAAAAATTGAACGCAAGCAAAAAATAATTTAAACATTTATTATGTATTAATAAACTTAATTAGTGTGATCCTATTTTGATCCATAAGTAGATTAAAAGTAAAAATATATTGAGAAAAGTTGTGTAACAAAATAAAAAATGTATTTAAATAAATATTAATCCCCAACGCAGCCTGTTAGCACCAACTACTATACACCAATGTTGCAAAAAAATAAAAATAGCTTGTCAGCACTCAGCAGTAAGGTAAGGGAAATAAGAAGACTGAGAGGGGTTTATTTTGATGGAAGTAACGCGAAGTCCGCAGACCTACTCCTCCCGTTACCAATAGCGGCAAGGAAGATGACAGCTGAGTTTCAGAGTTGAAGGTGAAAAATTGACAAACTTGCTTTCGATTTTAAAACAAGAAAGACGGCCAGAAGGTTTGGAAGGACGAAGAGAAGTGTAGAAGGCAGTGTGAATAGAATGGGAATAACTGGTAAATATTCAAACGGCCGATGCTAAACGCCAAGGATATTCAGCGTTTCTCAATTTGGCTTTTTCGCATAAAAAGCCAAATAAAAAAGTCAGTTAACCAAACACTCAAATTAGCTAATTAATGCAGTCAAAAGGTCAAATAATAGTCAAATCAGTCAAAAATGGCTGATAGACTGCTAACCAAACACCCCTAATGTAACAAATGTGCGTCAACTAACGCCAACTAGTGGTGGACTCGGGTCGGGCCACCCGGCCCGTGTACCGGGCTTTGACCCGGCCCGAGGGGGAGACGGTTTCGGGCACAGTTCCTTCAAAATGAGACCCAGCCCAACCCGAATCCACCCCTGACACCAACAAGTGAAAAAGTTGAAATTTACATTTGGTGTAGGTTTCTTCTGAATAATTATTTTAGATACCTCAAGACTCAAGTCAATACAGTAGGACTTCGTATAAGCTAGATGAACTTATACGAGTCATTTATAAAGAAAATTTATCCTGCAAAGCTCCATTTTTTTGCACATACTCGGATGTTCAAAAGATGTAAAGTTCACACAGTTTTCACACGCCAGAAACTTAACAAGTTGTAGGGAGTGTTGGCAAGGGATTAAAAAAAAACTTTTCAGCTTTTGGCTTAAAAAAGCTGAAATTGGTGTTTTCAAATGCCAGCTTCGGCATAAATTAAGCACTTTAAATCCAAAAGTTGGAAGTTGGGGTAAGGTAGCTTCTAACTACTTCTTGGTTTTCTTGTAAATTATTCCAACTTTGGGGATGATTATTATGGTAGATACTATCCTCCGTTCTTTAATTCTTGCAACAATTTGACTTTCACGTTAGCCAACACACAACTTTGACGGTAATTTTATTTAATTATAGATTAGTAAACATTATAAAAAGTTGATATTTTGAAAATTCACATCGATAGGAATTCAATAACATTTTATACGTAATAATTTGATTATGTATATTAGAACAAAATCTTTATCAACATCTCTTCCTCACCTCGATCTTGCATTCTTGCTCTCTTCCTCACTGCACCTTGATCTTGCGGGCTGCTGGTCCGTCACTTGGCTTCGTTTTTTTTATGAAGTCTGTCACTTGGCTTTTTTTTTTATGTCCGTCACTTAGCTTCGTTTTTTTGAAGTCCCCTCCCTTGGCTTCTATGGAGTATGTATATACTATCGTATGATTAATAATACTCCGTATTTATTTGCTGTTACAGAGTTACATCAATAGGACTCGTGTATTATTGTATTTTGATAAGGGTATTTTGTGTTATAAGGGTATTTTTGTATTTTGATAATTTATTACATCCAAAATCACTTTTCTACCAAACACTTCAACTTTTACATTTTAATCACAATCACTTTTATTTCCAAACACTACCTACTTTTACTACAAATCACTTTTACTAAAATCTCTTAAAAAATCACTTTTGAAAAGCACAAGCAATCGCAAACACTCTAAATTGTGTATCAGTGAATGGAATATCCTTTGTGACAAAAGGAAGAAAACGGTAATAAAGTTTGTCGTCAAATAACCATCAAACTTTGCAACACAAGTAACCAATACAAACCACCTAATCGCAAATCAGTTATAGTGAAATGTTTCGGCCTAATTGAAGACAAGTCCATGTTTGATAGGAGTATATATTATTGATAAGAATAGATAATCCAAGGTAAGGGACATTAAACACCATCCACACCAGATAATTGGTTCATCTGCATTAGAAAATATATATTGGGTCAATCAATATAGAAAGTTTAAATAATCAATATGCTAGCTTGATGATAAGTGTACTAATGGTGCGCCAAACAAAGTTCTGCTTACGATGATGGACACTACATTACTACTCCCTTCACCTCAAAATAATGGTCAGTTTGGAACTGATAGAAATATTAGGGAAAGAAACAGGGAATAGAAATTAGGAAAGAATGAAAACTTTATGTTGGTGTTTTATTTCCAATAAGTCTTATTTTGTTTTAGGAAAGAAAACTTTGTCTTCTTGAATGAAAACTTTTTGTTGGTGTCTTGCATTTCATTTTCACTGCTATTTCCAATTTCCAAACAAAAGGCAAAAGACTTTGTTGGTGACAAATAAAATCCGTAGAAGGGTGTGTTTGGGATACAATGGTATAATATTGCCTTCTCTTCCTAATGTATCATGATTTGTCACTAACCACGCTACTTAATTGCCTGTGTTTTAGTTATATTATACTACATACTTAATTCTTATTATACATGTGTAGTCTCTCCTAAAAAGGCACATAAGTATATGGTGAACTAGAAAACAGGGGAAGCCAATCTAGGAAATCTTAGACATGGCAGTATTAGGTCTACTTAAATTATTAAATCAGTCGATCCATAAAGTTATACTTCGTATATAGCAGTATAGCACAACTTCAAAATTACCAATAAAGTGAAAAAACCCCTACATAGATGACTAGCACACTTCTAATAAAAAAGTTAAATCCTCTTCAGCACATTTTAGCTGAGCGGTGAGTATCTGTTTTATTCATGCTAAGGTGCTAATTCCAACATGGTGACACCAAGGACCACACATTAACAGGCTCAGGATGGTGATCATCAAAAAGCAATACTTGGTTCCTTTTGGGAGTTTCATGATCATATTTGGGAAATACTAGGAATAAGTAAACCTTACTCAAATATGGATACGAAGGCAATCCATAAATTTAAATTTAATAGCTCAAGATTGCAAATTGTATCGTACTTCAAGATGTACTAACATCACATAGAATTTCTGTAATCTTCTTGATGATTGCTCATTTTCCTCTAAAGAATTTCACTTCCTTATGAGTCCCTGTGTTCCTTTTCTTTATGACAATATCCTTCCTAAAGAATTTAGTAATTCTCATTTGCATATGTTGTTTGTTAATTATTCTTTTTGAGATTGCTCCTTTTTATAGTGAGTGTGTTCGACTATGTTGGATGTATAATTATTATGATACTCCAAACGTATAATACTCAAACCCACTCAAGGAGTCAAGATATGTGTACTTAAAAGAGGCTTTTCTCATTTCTGCAATGTTCACATCAAATAACAACCACATCTCTTCTCTACTATGCCACTGTGATTTTCTTTCACTTAAGAGTCAAGACTTAAGAACTCCATGACAAAAACAGCAACAAAACCTACCCATTTCTTGCTCCACAAATAGTTTCAGCCCACTGTGTCAACATAAACCATACACAAAGTTCTTTTTTACAGTACCATAAGTAGTGCATAACGTAATACTATCCTATACTCTTATCTCCCCCAGAGAGCAAATATCTTCAAGAGTTTATGTGCAGTTAGCATACCTTGACGCAGGGAAAAAACACTACTTTGTTTTTACAAAAAAATGTAATTTGCTATACAAAATACGTAGTACAATCACTATGAATAAACGAGGAAAACACATTTCAACTTATGACCCGCAAACAAGGCGCTGAGCAAAACGGATGTCTGGATGCCTGAGATTACTAGCAAAAGTTTCTCAAAAATGCCAAGTAAAGTTGCTATGATATGTTCAGCTTTACATGGGAAAATGGAAAGATAAATCAAATACACAGAATGAATGGTTTACTTTCTTCAAAATTGTAAAAATATATTTAAATTTCTTAATCTCTACACAAATTTCCATCATTTGCAATGGAACCAAAGACTTAGTATTTTTTGTCTTGGAAATATGATGGAATAAAGCAAAATGGCTCATTGAACTGTCTGCGCTTCTTTGTTATGCAAAGCAGCAATCAATTCATGCAATTTTCGACGCGATTTTCACTATGGGTCATCCGAAAACAATCTCTTTGTGCTTTAGTACAGAGGTAAGATGGCGTACATTCGACCATCCTTACCCCACCGTAGGTGAATCTCTATACAAAATGTTAGCAAGGTGAACATTGGCATCCCCGCAAAGTGAGAGTTTGGAGAAGGGCTACACCACAAGGGTGTACAGGGCAAAGTCCTCGTCATTTTTTACCAGAAACCGCTCCCAAGATTTGAACCACCGCTTGGTCACACAATAACACCTTAATGGGTGTACCAAGACTCCCTTTCAAATTTCTTAGTCTTTATAGTAAAACAAATACTCCCTTCACTCCAATTTGATTTGCAAAAGTTGACTCACACAAAAATTAAGGAATCAGGAATGTAACAAATAAGGTTTGATTTTACTATTTTTTCCTATCTCTCGTAGAGTAGAGACATTCAAGTAAGTGGAAAAGGGTAAAAGTAAGGGTGAATTTGTCATTTACTAATCTGTCTATACCTAGAATAGAAAGTTGGAAATCACTTTGGGATCACCAAAATAGGAATTTTTGTAAAACAAATTGGGAAGGAGGGAGTATCTAAAATAAACTTAGGGATAATTGATACTTGCACCTCAATTTTGTCAAATTTTGAGTTTGCACCCTGTTTTTGATATCTTTAGTATTTATACCCTAAACATTAAAGTTCACACCCTAGTTTCTCTTCCAAATTAGATTTTGCATCCATCTTGAGCAGAATTTATTAACTCCGGACTTTAAAGATTTTGAAAATTTGGTGCAAACTTGAATGTGGATGAAAACATGGAGTGCAAAGCTTTAGCCTATATTCTTAAGATAAGCTAAAAATTATTAAGTTTTTTTTTATATCTTTAGTCTACAAAATGATCATTCACCTGACAATTTAGTTAAGTTTTAGCATATCTTTCCCCCCAAAAAATCTTTCATCCAAATTCCTTTGCGTTTTCTATCATATTTTCTTTCCTGATAATCCTATTATATCCGGTTTCCAAACGTATCCAAAAGGAGAGGTACCAAGAAAAAGGCGCTGTCAAACGATCATTCAAACATTCATTTTCACAACAATCATAGAGAATTTAAGTAAGAAAGAAAAAAGAGTTGAAAGGAAGATGACCTTTTGAGAGATGAGTGTTCTCAGTGGGAATGAGAAGCGGAGGAGGTGGAGTGAGAATGAGAATGAGGAGCATAGATCTTGTTGTAGGCGGCTTCGCCGACGAGGTAGACGCCGAAGGCGACAAGGGCGATGCCAAGGCCAGGAGTGGCATGGCGGAACTGATTCGACAGCATCGGGTGTTTCCTCCACGCGTCCCTCCTCCTGAAGAACTCCCCCGTCGGTCCAAGCGGCTTCGCCATATTCCCTGAGCTCGGTGATGTCTGTCTGGTGAACTGGATCGGCTTGGCCCTTATAAAACAAGTTGGACTTTCACACATTTTAGAAATAAATTTGACTTTACTGTACAATGCACTGTTTTGCACTGTTTAAACATTGTTTGACACTGTTTAAACACTGTTTGGCAATGTTTAAACATTTTTTGACATTGTTTATCACTTTTTTTATGTAGATAATTTGCCAAATAAGAAAAGTATTGAAGTGTGAAGTTAATTTTGGGACATCCATTTAAGGAAAGTGGAAAGTTGTTTTCGGGACAGAGGGAGTAAGAAAAAGTTACACAAATATAACCACTTTAAACCCCACTAACAAAAATATGACTTCATGCCCTGCCTTAGAGAGTGTTTGTAATTGCTTCAATTTTAAAAGAGTGATTTTTTAAAGTGATTTTGAGAAAAGTGATTAATAGTAAAAGTTTGTAGTGTTTGAGAAAAAAGTGATTCTGAAAAAGTAAAAGTTGGTAATGTTTGGTAAAATAAGTACTTTTTGTGTAATAGAAAAAGTGAAAAGCAGTTTAAAGCACCCTTCCACCTGCTTCCAGCTTTTAGCTTTTAATTGATTAATTTAAGCAGAAGCTGTCATTTGAAAACACTCTTGTTGATGTTAATTCCTTCAACCCTCGGGCCCAACACGTAAGCCCAGAAGGTCTCGAGTGGAAGAGGTGTATGAGTGTGTGAATATTCAGCCCAACAACTATCAGACGGATCAGGAAACAGAGGAAATAGCAGGCAATGTAAATAGGTATTATTAACTTCGTAATAACTCCCCTAAATACAATCTACTTGCTAAAAAGGCACGTCGGCCGTTCGTCTTACTAGTCAGTAATCTGAGCTGCGAATAAGAGGAATAAGCTAGAAATGCTCAGGCTAATTAGTTGTCAACCTTTTACAATGAAATAAATGCTTCTATTTATACCCACCAATGAGCAGGTGGTTATACCACGTGGAAGCCTGTGGTTCGCTAGTGTCCCAACCACCAAATCTTCAGCATTAAATGCGCTTCCCGCCAGAATCTAGGTTTCCCGCCTAATTAGTGGGGACGTTCGTACGCCAGAGGAGCGAGCTGGATTGCTCCAGGTGGCCTCCAAGGGGTATCGGCTGTTCGTCTCCTCGCCATGTGGATTGGACTGCCTCCTATGGTTAGGGGCTTGCCCTGACGACGTTCGTCGTCACTCCGGTGACCTGTGGTCCCGCTTCCTGTCTCTGCATAGGCGCTCATTGAGATGGGCCGTTGAGCCTAAAAACCTCAACTACAGACGTTCGTCCCTCCTGGGGGAAATGGGCCTGCCAGGCTAGCTTAGTGATCTATCTGGACGTACGTCCGGGAGAAGGGGTAAACGGGCCGAATCCCGATTTGGGCCATTAACCCAACACAAGTCCCCCACTTCTGATGTTCTGGGCATGCACAGGACATAAGGAAGTATGATGTCCCCCGGGGTCAGATGTTCGTGTAATGGTACTTGCGTTTGTTGCACCCAGTGGAGGCGTACGTTCGTGGTCATGATGCTTAACAGCTGTCGATGGTTCAGGAACCAAGGTGACGGCTGCTCTTTGCGACGGTGCATTTTCCGAGGAAATATCATCATTACGCTTTCCACCCCACGCACAGCGCGTGAGCCGGAATACGCTCCTTGCTACGTGTCAACCCCTCGTTGGCCCCCTCACCGGTGCTTCTCCTATAAATGTCGGGTTTCCCCTCTAGCTTAGGGTTCCCAATTTCTACTCTCTTGCTCTTGAATTTCCGCTTCTCTTCAAGTCTTCTCCCGCTTCCGAGTTCGGCTAATCCCTCTCTAAGGCAATTTTCATCATCTGCTTCTTCTTCCTGTCTTGAATTCTCGCCGAGATGGTTTCGATGGAGATCTCGTCAAGTTCTGGTTCTGGTTCGTCGGGTTCTTCCTCGGGCTCCTCTTCCGACTCCGGTTCACGCTCTTCGGGCGAAACTAGCACTTCCGGTAGTTCCGGCTCGGCCCCTACCGTGGGAACTTTTCAGGCCGGGGGAGCCCAAAGTGACGTCGTTGCGGCTATCCCTGGTGATGAGGGTGCTGATTTGGGAGGGCAAGATAATATGGCCCTCGATGTGGTGGACCCCGTGGCTGATACCGAGGAACAGGAGTCCGCTAGTGAGGACGGTCGTCCGGCCGGATATGATTCTGGGGCCGCGGCCCAGGATGGCTCAGTCATCGAAGTGTTTGATCTCGGGCTAAAGGTGGATGTGGAGAGGCATCTATGCCCGATCAAGAACGTCCTCTGTCATGAGCAGATCTTCTCGCCGGTGGCCCTTAACAAGCTCAAGGTGTTCTTCCCTCCCCCGTCCGTATACAGCCTCCGTGGCGCAACCCACGTGATGAGGAGACGCCCAGGGATGATTATGGTGCTTCTGGACTCCATCGAGGCCGGGCTCTGCTTCTATTTATACCCACCAATGAGCAGGTGGTTATACCACGTGGAAGCCTGTGGTTCGCTAGTGTCCCAACCACCAAATCTTCAGCATTAAATGCGCTTCCCGCCAGAATCTAGGTTTCCCGCCTAATTAGTGGGGACGTTCGTACGCCAGAGGAGCGAGCTGGATTGCTCCAGGTGGCCTCCAAGGGGTATCGGCCGTTCGTCTCCTCGCCATGTGGATTGGACTGCCTCCTATGGTTAGGGGCTTGCCCTGACGACGTTCGTCGTCACTCCGATGACCTGTGGTCCCGCTTCCTGTCTCTGCATAGACGCTCATTGAGATGGGCCGTTGAGCCTAAAAACCCCAACTACAGACGTTCGTCCCTCCTGGGGGAAATGGGCCTGCCAGGCTAGCTTAGTGATCTATCTGGACGTACGTCCGGGAGAAGGGGTAAACGGGCCGAATCCCGATTTGGGCCATTAACCCAACACAAGTCCCCCACTTCTGATGTTCTGGGCATGCACAGGACATAAGGAAGTATGATGTCCCCCGGGGTCAGATGTTCGTGTAATGGTACTTGCGTTTGTTGCACCCAGTGGAGGCGTACGTTCGTGGTCATGATGCTTAACAGCTGTCGATGGTTCAGGAATCGAGGTGACGACTGCTCTTTGCGACGGTGCATTTTCCGAGGAAATATCATCATTACGCTTTCCACCCCACGCACAGCGCGTGAGCCGGAATACGCTCCTTGCTACGTGTCAACCCCTCGTTGGCCCCCTCACCGGTGCTTCTCCTATAAATTCCGGGTTTCCCCACGTGATGAGGAGACGCCCAGGGATGATTATGGTGCTTCTGGACTCCATCGAGGCCGGGCTGCGCTTTTCTCTTCATCCGTTCTATGTGGAGTTCTTCTGCTGTTATCAAATAGCCCCCGCACAACTCATGCCGAATTCATACCGGTTCATCTCCGCCTTCCTAGTCCGTTGTAAGGACCATGGGGTCACCGCCAGTTTGGACTTGTTCCATTACTTCTACCGGCTCACCCCCCAAAACTCTGACGGTTTCCTGAGCGTCGCAGCTCGTCCGAAACGGAGGTTGTTCAGCGGTGCACCGAGTTCCATCCACGACTGGAAGAATCGGTTTTTCTTCGTGCGGTACGCGGATGCTCGTCTGCCATTGCGGTGGAATGGCTACCCGCCCAAGATAGGGTCTCCGGATCTGACCGACGATCTGGAGGAAGACGTCAGAAAGATCTCAACGGGCGGCGTCCGGCCCTTGGAGGACTTCCTCACCTTTGAGGCACTCGCCGCAGCAGGAATAGGTACCGCCCATGCTCTTGGACTTCCCCCCTCCTACGCTCGTCTCGGGGTACTGGGCGGTCCTAACCTTTGAGGTGAGTGTCCCGAGTTATTCCTGACGTTCGTCCTTCTAACCATTGCCTTTTCTGTTTTTTCAGGTCTTCCCCCAACCCAGGAGCAAATGAATCACGAGAAGCTCCTCAAGACAAGGAAAGGCAAGGACGCTGCCGCCGATGCCGCTCTTGCCAAGGCCAAGGCCATTCAAACGGCCGATTCCAACTCCTCTACCTCTCAGGCCGACCGTCGCACGGTGGAGGCGGAACAGCATGTAAGGAATAAATGTAATTAGATTTTGATGATGCTATAGGATTAGAATTTTAAAGTACCCCAAATTAGATTTTGTGTATTAGAAATTTTCAATTGTAAGTATTAGTGTAGTCGACGATCAGAGTTGCTCTACTTTGGATCAGATCAGAAGTGCATCAGAACTGCTCGACCAGACTTGCTCTATGAGAACTGCTCCATCAGAGTTCTCTTACCGGAAGTCCATCAGAGTTGCACCATGAGAGTTGCTGATAAACTTGGTCATCTGATAGCCGATGAGATCTACAGATCAGAAGTACTCATCAGCGGACCTATCAGAGTCAGAGTCTGAGTTCAGTCAGAGATCAGAAGACCATCAGAACTCAACTCATCAGATAGCCATCAGAATCCAACATATCAGAAGAGCCTGATCAGAGCTCGACGAACACTTAGAAAATTTCAAGCAACATCCAACAGCTATGAATTCAACGGGTAAAAACATCTGTAAGGAATAAATGTAATTAGATTTTGATGATGCTATAGGATCAGAATTTTAGAGTACCCCAAATTAGATTTTGTGTATTAGAAATTTTCAATTGTAAGTATTAGTGTAGTCGACGATCAGAGTTGCTCTACTTTGGATCAGATCAGAAGTGCATCAGAATTGCTCGACCAGACTTGCTCTATGAGAACTGCTCCATCAGAGTTCTCTTAGCAGAAGTCCATCAGAGTTGCATCATAAGAGTTGCTGATAAACCTGGACATCTGATAGCCGATGAGAACTACAGATCAGAAGTACTCATCAGCGGACCTATCAGAGTCAGAGTCAGAGTTCAGTCAGAGATCAGAAGACCATCAGAACTCAACTCGTCAGAAAGTCATCAGAATCCAACATATCAGAAGAGCCTGATCAGAGCACGACGAACACTTAGAAAAATTTCGAGCAACATCCAACAGCTATGAATTCAACGGGTAAAAACATCCAACGGCTACAAGACTGTGCATGAAAGGAAAGCATTTAATGCACATTAAATGAGCCTGATACG